TTTCCACTTTCATTTTATACTGATTAACCAGCTGACTCGTGATCATACAGAAACATATGTGGGCTGTATATAATTTTTTTTCTCCCCTTGCCTGATGATGATTCCTTTAAAATTTTATTTATGTCTGGACATGTTGATGATCCAGCAGTCACCAAGTTTCCAGTACCTAAAAGTGCATTTTATTTGACATCACAATGATCCATATAGTGAGGGACTGATTGATTATATGATCATCACAGCCTCCAACATGCCCACCTATAAGTGTAAGATAATGTATTCTTTGTGGTTCCACCTTGTATCCAAGGAGACCACAGGTGTGCCAGGTCAGTCTGGCTACAGAATTACCAAAACTGTGTTTGGCACACTGCTAAAATTATGAAAATAGAGCCCTGCATCGTGAAAAATAAGTTGAAGTTATAGTTTTACTCACCCATGGTTTCCTATATGACTTAACTGTTTCTCTATCCCCATCCAGAATGGAGAGAACTGGAGGGTTGACAACTGTACCACTGCTACATGCACCAATGGCAATGTCAAAGAGACACCTGATCCTTGTCCCACAGTGGAACAACCCATCTGTGCTAATGGGCGTAAAGCTGTTCAGGTTAATGATAAAAACGGATGCTGTTTCCACTATGAATGTGAATGTAAGTTGAACATGTTCAATACAGCTTCCTACTGTTGACTTTTAAACACAGCAGAGAATCTTGTGTGTGTGTGTGCTAAGACTGTTGACAGTAATAGTACATTTTGGTGTTGTGTGTTTTTTGGGTGTCACACCTGTTGTTGGCAGCTGCATGATGTGATGATGTAAACGATTACAGAAGGTTGTAAAAGCCAATACCTTACAATCTTTAATCAAGCCAAGTCAGGTTTGAATGTAACTCCAGTGTAAGTCACAAGTCAAAAACAAATCTAGAAATCCACATGGTATGTGAAATGCCATTTCATTTTGTAGCATCTTTATGTGGTTGCCACTGCACAGTGCCTTCAATACATAGCAGCTGTTTGTGTCAAAAAGGCATATAAGAACATGAAAAAACTAAATGAATAGCATATTATCAGCAGTTAGGAGCAAAGGGTCACACTGTGGCACTAACTGGTTCAGATACAAAACAGACGCTACCTACTCTACACTAAATAACCTCTAAATCGCTTCAGTAGTAGCAGCTACTAAAGTGATTCTGAGTAGATACTAACTGCTAATAACCAAGCATAGCTTTCCTGGTGGAGGTAATCATGCTTTCTATCTGTTCCGGTTCCTACTTATTAATTATAATTTCCACGCATGGTTCTTATTCTGCAGGTGTGTGCAGTGGCTGGGGTGGATCCCACTACATGACATTTGATGGAACATCATACAGTTTCAACATGAAATGCTCTTACTACCTGGTTAAAGAGATTATTACCAAATATAACCTGGCTATTATAGTAAACAATCATGACTGTGATCCTTCAGACAGCACATTCTGTCCCCAGGATCTCACAGTTATATACGGATCCAATAAGATAGTTTTGACTCAGTTGAAGACTTCAAATGGAACAACTAATGTGGTAAGTAGCAACTGAATTATCAAAGATACTTGTTGTTTTAGAGTCAGTATGTCATTTATTTTGAGAGCACTGACCTAATGGTTAATCTTTTAAAGTAGTGATGATATATAATACAGATGGAGTTAGAAATGCAGCTGTTCACTGTCTTCTCCATTGTGTTTTGTCTCACTGTTCTACAGGTATATGTGAATGAGAAACGAATCTATCCAGCCTTCTGTGATTCTACCATGAGCATTACTAGCACAGACATGGTCATCACATTGGACATACTGGATAGTAACGTAAACGTGGTCTACAGGGGTGGCTCATTCAGCATCAGCCTTCCCTATTCCCTCTTTGGTGGAAAAACTGAGGGACAGTGTGGTGAGTTAACAGACCACTAGGATCTTAATCCTAGCCCTACATTTCAGTGCTAGCTACAACCAGATGGAACCCGAGAGAGCTGGCCATTGCATCTAATGTTTACAAAAAAATAAAAAAATCAAACAACGTACAACGAAACAAAAGAAACAAAGGAATATACAGTGTAGAGTTTAAATGCAAAACAAGTCTACGACATAATACTGCCATGAGAAACAGTGGATATTAAG